TATAAGAGATTTTTGTGTGGAGTCAGTGTGTGCCCAAATAAAATAATGAAACTGCCCTTTATTTGACATACTGATAACACATTTAGCGCAAATTAATTTATCCTCTGAATTAACGATAAAATGGATCATCGGCACCCATATAACATACATATCTACTATACAATACCGAATAATTCAATGATAGCTATTGGACATTGGAGCCAGTTTGCAGTACATGCGATAGATACATGGGCATATTGAACTCAATGCCTATTTAAAACACGGAGGGGTTGTTATCATAATGCAAAAAATAGTGCGAAAGGATTGACTCTCTATAACAAAGGTCAGTGGATTCAGAACAAATTTTCTTGAAACTACGAATTTGATTTGAGGTCACGAGCACTTGCAATAGATTAATTTTATTACAGGTGGGGAATTTTTGAATCCGGTCATTCTGCGCTTTTATTATTCATCGTAAAAAGCGTGGGGTGCTTGATTATTCTATTGGCAACTATCTATATAGGAGATTTATGAAAATGTAGTAAAATGCACCATATGCTATTTACGCTGAATTGAATTATTCTGTTAATAACTTAAATTTTATTATAATTTTATTTTGAGGTCATTAATTATGATTGATTGTTCGACCATCTACTACTGTAGTATAAACTCTTTGTAATTAAAAATTGTTTTCTACGTTTTATTCGGTTAGCTATAAAAGCGTGTTTTTGTAGTTTTTTTAAACTATTATTTATTTCCTAGTTTTATTTAAGGAGGGTTTTCAGAATAATGCACACAGTAACAATTGCTACTCTTTTGCTCTACAGGGATAGGAATTACAATTTGACATTTTGTTTCTTGTCCTCCTTCATCAAGTTTATTTTTTCTTTGGACTCATTGAATTTCAGAAGAGGTGAATAGAATTTTCAATTGTGATTCTAAGAATGTATAAATGTTTACATTGACTTTGCAAAACTCCAGTTTAATAATGACAGCTCATCAAACGTGTATTCGGTTACATCACCAATCAGAGACTGCCGCGGCTTTTGAAAAGCGTGTTTAAGGACATACAAGTGATTTATCCCTCTATTGAACATTGATTATAACAAACATGATTTTCAGCATGATAACAGCTGAAAAAAGAGTTAGACATGTTTTCAGAAATCGCTCGAGCTGCTAAATATATTTATGTAATAGGGAGAACAACTTATGAAAAGCTTTTGTATTAAATTCGTAATTTGCTTCTCTGCCTGCTTCATTATAGTTTCCTTAAGGCAGGATGCGAACTGCGCTTTCAGCCTACTGTAATTTATCATCATCAGTCTACTGAACGAAACAACTGGCTAGACTGAAACAAGGCAAATAAGGGATAGGCATTCACTGATTTTTCGGGCGAATTCGCTCTCCTGTTGCTTAGGCACTTTGTTGTTGTTTGCCTTCTCTGCAAGTTTGCTAACTGCTTCATATTGTTGTTGTTTAGACAGACGAACTGGCCCCTGTGATTCTCTCGCTGAAAAGCAATGTCGATATCACACTTTTTATGATTTTAGCTGTTTTTTAGTCCCTGCGTCACTGGTCGAGGAAGTATTATTATCGCGGCAAATTTCGAAAATGAGACATTATGGCCTGTGGATATGACTTGTACATCACGAAAAACGCGCACAACGTGGGAAGTACCGCTTGGATTTCAATGAAATTTCCACACAAGATCAATACTACCAGTGACTAAAAAGCTTTGGAGTTTTTGAAAATCGGTCCAGTGGCGGTGGTGATAGGGGCAAAAAGATGAAAAAAAATAAAATTCCGTTCTTTGATACTTCAGAGGCTACTGATCGTATTCATAAATCCGAGGGTTGGGCTTGTAGGGGGTGGGGTGAAAATTCTATTGATTCACACTCACCCAACCCCGGTAACTCTATGCACCTATTAGCCATATTTTACACATAATATATTTCCCCGTACTTTGCCTTTGAAACTTGAATTATAAAGAAATGTTTTCAGTCCGCGTACTCCTCCCATCTAAGCTCACCGCCGATGGTCCGGCTGACTGATCTATATGTACTGCAATGTACAAAACATAGAAACGGGTTGAACGATGCGGACAACGTTGCCAGATAGAGAGTAACTACAGGTAGGGCAGGGAAGGAATTTCTATGGATTAATTGTATGGGCCTGTTTGACTGTCTTGATCCGTTTAATTCCTATGTTGTTCATGTCCGTAACTGACCTTTTTCTCAGAGGATCTCAATTGCACTGAACTTAGTCCTTTATGAACTGATCACGGCGTTGCCGAGGAAGTTCAGAGTCAACCTACTTGACGCTGTTTTTAATATACTGAAGAGTTACGAGAGACCAGTGCCTAAATACGAGGTACCACGACTCGTTTTTCTCATTTTTACTCATTATTTTTTCTAGCATTCATTTTTTTTGGAATATTGGACAATATAGTTAATACCCGTAAAGTGTTCGAATAAATAAAACAATTGATATTTTGTGTATAGCTGTTGCTGTTTTTTATACATGTTTGTTCTAAATCACGTCCTCGCTAATCTAAGCAAACTGAAACCAATAGCCTCCTGCGCAAAGTTCGATGATCCGTCAAAACCGGATGTTCGCATTATACAAAAACACTAAAAACAATTCTTAACCTTTTCAATCCACAGAGCGGACTGAATGTAAAATGAAAAATATAAAGCGCAATACATGACATCCTCGATTACATAACTGAAAACCAAAACGATGAAGAAAATAAAGTATATGTGGATGAATTTACAGATGTTACGCGAACATATTTTCATTACACAATATCTAATCAATTAGTTGGTTGATCTTCAAACAATCCGATAATTGTAAACCTCATTTCCTCTGCAACTTGTACGTGTGAAATGAAACTATTTCATAATTTCGTGGTGTCAAAGGATTTCATGAGAATATTTTTTTGCACTTGTGCGGATTCGTACAAAAAATCCAACGTAACGGCGGTTATGCAATCGCTGCATGACCACAATATCGAAACCAGCATACAACTTCTTGTTTTAAGCAGAATTAATTAGTTAGGCTTCTGTTTGGTCTACGAAATTACACAAAAAAAAAAATGGAAAAAGTTGATATTGCTCATTAAGGTGGGCCATGAGTTTTCTTTTTTAAATTGGTATTAAAACTTCACTCTTCAATAATATGGCACACTCGATACTTTATTCCGATTATTTATGAAAAACAATTTCAGTTAAATGGCTGCCGCGGCTGGCCTGGCAGTAGTCCACCCTCGTAACCCAATTTTAAAGCACATGTTCGATAGTTTGTGGGTCTATTTCATCAATAACTCGACGGATATTTTCCTTAATAACATCAATTGTTTGAGGATAGTTAGTGTAACAGCGATCCATAACAGTACCCCATAGGAAGTAATCCATGGGCGGCAAATCACAGCTGCGGACTGGCCAATCAACGTCTCCAAAACGGCTGATAACACGAGGTCCGAACTTAGTGTGTAAAAGATCGATTGTTTCATGGCTGGTGTGGCATGTTGCGCCATCCTGCAGGAACCAGAGATTGTGTAAATGCATGTCGTCTAATAGTGGCCACAAAAAACTCCTCAATATGTCTCTATAGCGTTCCCCGTTTACCGTCACACTTTAGCCATCCTCATCTTGACAAAAAGTAGGGACCAATAATCTCGCCACACCAATCAGTTACTCTTTTTGGATGCATTGGTTTTTCTATGACATGTGGATTTTCAGAACCCCCAACATCTACAGTTCTGCTTGTTAACGTAATCTCCCAGGTGGAAATGGGCTTCGTCCGAAAAGATGATTTGAGGACCAAAATTAACCTCCGTTTCCAATTGATTTAGGCCAGTTTCACGAACCTTCTTCACGAATTTTCGTATACCGGTCGCGGACGGAGCTTCATTCCGACCAAATAGTCTTCTCAATTTCCGCAAAGTTTCTGCAACACAGCACTCACTTTGAAAATAGTTTTTCAATATTTCTCACCTTCGTTCAATATTAAAACGATCTACTGCTCACAGCGGAAGTTTGACACAATATATCTGTCAATATGTTGAGCATGGAAGTGTTACCAATTGTCGAAATAATACCAACTTAAAAAGAACAGCTGTTGGCCCACCCTTTATAAGGGAAGAGGGAGGCAGCCGCTGTATGATAGTGTCAGATAAAGAGAGATTCTTTCCCACCGATTTTCAAATACTAATTTAGTAAACAGCATTGCATTTTCAATAACAATAATTTCAGTTATGAAATATTAAACAAAAGTTATTAGTTATATTAAAAAAAGTGTATAAAGGATTCAACAGTATTGGCAATTCTGTGCCCAAAAAGTAAAAAAGATCTACAGGGATGCACTCATTCATTATTTTCTTTAAGTTTTGTTTGCCGCAAGCATTCTTTTTTTCCTTGGAATACGACAGTACCTATTCCAACACCGTCTCCTATAAGTTGTAATATTTCCTAATGTAACATCTGGAACTTATCCTGAGGTTTTCATGCTGATAAAACTCCAAATGAAGCTACATTATGTAACTGTAAAAAATCTAAGTCGTGTATCAAATTATAGGCTTAAAACAATTGGAAAAATCTACACGCTGTGTAGTGCAATATCTGCAACCCCGGGATAATCTTCCGATAGTTGAGTTTTGTCAAACAATGCTACCGAAACACTGAGAAAATCCGGTATTTTCAGAGAAAATTTAATGAAGTGATGAATCGACATTTAAAAAAGATCGTTACATGAATGGGAACAGGAACTAAAAGAACATCGCATAGTGTAGATTTTTCGATTTTTTACACCTATTATTTATTATTTGAAAAATACTCTTAGACTTAGATTTTTTTATATTTTTCTGATAACTTTTATTACTTGGCCTATCCTCCGTTTCCGGCTTGATGTCGACTTCTGGGACACCCTGTATGTAATGAAAACGTCAACTCCATCAAGCATTGACATTTAACTGTACACACCCTGTATTGGCCTTACTGGTATATTGGTTGTTAAAACCGTCAATTTCTTGAAACCCGAAGTAAACGTCAGTGAGTATATACATAAAAGAAACGTACCTATATGATTTAGTGTTAAGTTCTAAGTATCTTAAGTTTTCGAGAATGACATTCTACCCTAGATTTCATCTTGTCCCCAGTGCTCCATCAGCGATGGGTGAAGGCAACGGAGCTTTGGGCATCGACCACCATGAGATCCACACCATCAACGGCAACCACTCGGGCAGCTCCGGTCGAAGCACGCCAAATAACTCCAACGATCCAGCTCCTGGAAAACTCTTTGTTGGAGGGCTCAGCTGGCAGACATCCAGCGAGAAGCTCAAAGAGTACTTTGGGATGTTCGGCAATGTTACGGATGTGCTCATCATGAAGGATCCTGTCACGCAGGTACCATTTTTTTCTATCCTCAATTTTGCAACGTATAAATATTGCAGGTGGTCCCTATAGCGCATTTGAACCTAGGAAATTCTAGTTGATTCGCATAGCGTCCGACGATTAAAAAAAACTCAAAATGTATTTATTTTAGATACAGATGATACTTCAGTGGTGATATCGAATAAGTGTGTGGCTACCTTAGAGAGAGATTGTGCAGTCTAACTGTTCTGGCTAGAGGTTATGTTGTTGTTTTGACGTTTAAGAAATTTTAGACACATGAGTCCAAGGCAGAAGCTTAATTTATTATTTTCTTGCAAATAATGTTGATCAATCATCTCCGACATCAACAATGCACTTCGGATACAATGTTTCTTATCCAACATTCATAAAATTTGTAAGAACGAACCACATCTGAAAAAAATGCACTAAGTATATCAATATGAATATGCAATGATTAATTTTGTAACTTACCATTCCTTCATCAAGGAACAGCTTGGTTGGGCCCGAGTTAAGGTAACATGGCCACGCAAGACAGCTATTGAAATATACTCTACTAGACTCTAGAAGACTATCCGTAGCGAAATTTTTCTCGAAATTGTTGCACTCCACTTGAAAAATGCAAATGAAGATTGGAAAACTGCCACTTTGACGTACTACGTTACACCGGGACAGACATACGATCTTGCCATTCTTGTCACCGAGATTGCGACGTTGCCAGCTGATTGGACAATTTTGCTACCTCTGCTAGAATGTAGCTTCGGATAAAATATTGAGGGATACCAATGAAGATATATAAAATTTGAGGCATAGCAATGTTTGCCAAAAAACTAAAAAAAAAAAAAACTGTTATTTACATTTTGCGTCTATTCGGCGGAACGTTAATGTCTCTGAACACTTTTATAAATGCCCAGTTTTATAGGATAAAATATTTCTTAGAAAAATTGGAAAAAATAATGTTTTATTATATAAATATATTTATTAACTATTTGATCTAAAATCACATGATCATTAATAGGAGAAGTACGATTTTTATTTTCTCTGCTCTTTATTAGGGGAATATGTTTTTTTAGTGACTGCATTCGCACTTGGGCGAGGAAAACCCCTAGAAAACCTCAACCGTCACTGCTAAGATTAATTGTATCAGCTGAAGAAAAATTAAGTCGTTCCACAATTCTGGCTTCATTTGTACAATCGAAAATCGCCAGCACGCCACAGTTATTAACCTAAAAAAAAAGTAGCATTGAAGTAACGGTTTATACGAGGGTCACATCAATAACCTAAAACGCTTTAATAGTTATAAATGGTTTGAATGTAACGACTCTAAAAAAATCGCACTATTTCAATACTGTCATAGCAACAAGTTCACATAATGTGACTGAGCTATGAAGACTTGAACCCGAGCGGTACTTGGGAACATATTCTTCGGAAGAAAAGGATTAAGTTTTGTATCACATTTTTTAAATAAATAAGTAAAGTGTGAAAGTGGAATGAAATATGTATTTAGGTGAATGATCTTAAAGTGCGTATTTCTGGAAGAAGGCTCCTCAACATAGCAAATTAGGTAAATAACTTTGTATCTTTGACATCGTTACCATCACATACATATGTATATTTTGGTTAATAGTATGAAAACTATGTCTAGACAATTAATTACAATAGCAATCAACGTTACTTCGACAACTTGATTCAGAAATCTCTCATCTCAGCCATACTTGCAAGAGAAAATGTTTGAAACTTTTCAGATCCGTCTCTGTCCTCATGCACCCGGTTTCTCGGTTTTATAGCCGTTTTATGACTATCGGCAAACAATGTAAACGAATATAATATCGTTGTCGTCTGTTCTACAAAGTTATTAAAATTCTCATTTATTTAAAAAAAACATAGAATGTCAACCCTAACACATAAGTGATGCAAGGCTGACCTTGTTTGCTGCACAGATTTTCTCTTTCCCTCAGAAGAGTTGGAAGTAGACCTAGTTTCCACTTTGGAGACACTTGACACCCACGTCACAGCACTAAATCACCACTGAGATGCAATCGAGCACCCTATAGTGAACACCACTACTAAAAAAAAGTAGCTAAATGGAATATAATTCTGCACGGAGCTGTGAACACGTAGACATTCCGCGGAGTGGGAGCTGAAAAGGGGCGTGGCTGTACTACCCGGCCGTACTGTATCGCCACAGCGATGTACAGCACTCACACACTCTCGGCAACCGTCGGCGTAGCGGAATGTCCACGCGTTAACAGCTCCGTGCAGAGCTCTATTCGGTTAAGATATTTTTATTAATAGTGGTGTTCACTATAAGGTTCTCGATTGTCTCTCAGTGGTGTTTTAGTGTTGTGACGTGGATGTCAAGTGTCTCCAAAGTGGAAATTAGGTCTACTTCCAACTCTTCTGAGAGAAACAGGATACATGTGCACCAAACCCGGTGAGCCTTGCATACTCATCCACTTGTGTGTTAGGGTTGATATCCTAAGTTTTTTAAAAATAAATTGTGCACATTGCATACACTGAGAGATTAGTCATATACTGAGGTATTTGGGAAAACTAAAATTTGGTCAGATCGTTTTTATTTTTGTCTGACCTCATTTTAAGAAATGTCAAAAAACTAATGGCACAACATGGTGGTGTTTTTAAATGTGCGCGAAGTGCACAACATTTAAAAAAGTACGACCCTGTATCTAATAGCATCTTTTTCTACGACTTCAACGGTGTAATACGTTAAATTTGTTTTTTTTAAGTTATAAACAAACGTGTTTTTTTCTATTTTTTCATTTTAAGTAGGCGTTGCAAACAAATGGTTGATATAAGATTCTGTGATTACTGATCTTTGCCACCCTGTAATACATTATTATAAAAAGAAATTCACAGAAACGTGCACTAATCTAACGTTCTTGTAAGTATTCTTAGGTACTTACATTCATTTCTGAAAAATCTCAAAACTATTAGCAAAGCCTCGAACAAAATACTATTTTTAGTCCAACGAATTGGTGATAGTCCATAATTGACAGTATCGTGCTTTGACACTAAGCCCTTGGCACTATATTTACTAAGTATGGTGCAAAAAATCAAGCGTTGATTCTCTGGCGTTTTCAAACCTGGAATCTCAGTCCCGTGTTTAGGAAACTACAATGTCTTACCTCGGTTGTTGGAGGATACAAATGTCCAACGAGAGTAGGGATGTGATGCGTCCAAAATGCGTCTGCCTGTAATTCTGCATGATCGACGAGTTATAAGTTGGATTCAAGTTATCAAGCTATCCATTTTTAGCTTCCTCAAAATGAATGCCTAATATCTCTGCGTCTAAGACGGATACTAATAAATAGTAGAATAAAATGAATGTTAGATCAAATAGTTAATAAATATATTTATAGGTATATAATAAAACATTGTTTTTTCCAATTGTTGGAAGAACCGTATTCTAAACATTTTTTTAATCCTATAAAACTGAGCATTTATAAAATGTTCAGAGGCATTAACATTGTAATGCCTCAAATTTTATATATCTCCACTGGTATTTCTCAATAGTTTATTCAAAACTTCTTTTTTTTATAACATTCTATCAAAATAGCAGAGGTAGCAAAATCGTCCGATGAGCTGGCAATGCCGCAATCCAGGTGGCAAGAATGACAAGGTTATCTGTCAAGATGTCTATCCCGGAGTACCGACGGAGTCATTTAGAACATCAAAGCGGCAATTTTCATTTGCATGTTTTTAAGTGTTGTGCAACGATTTCCGCAAAAATTTCGCTACGGATAGTCTTATAGAGTCTAACAGAATAATACATTTCAACAGTTGTCTTGCGTGGCCATGTTATCTTTACTCGGACCGCTTGGTTGTAAACTGTTAGGCTTTTATTTATAAATACACTCGATTTGCATTGTTCATTTTAGATCATTAATACCACAGCTTGGCGAATTTGTTCAATGTAGGGAGTTATTATTGACTCAACATTATTTGCAAGAAAATATCCTTCGGCATTTGATTCGTCTGTCTAAAATTTCTTAAACGTCAAAAAAAGAAACATAACCTAACATCACAATTGACTTGTGATTGACAGCAGACTAGAAATCTAAAGCAGTACATACAAGTACCTTACTGGAGAATACATGCGATTATGAAAATCAAGGAGGCCATAAAGGCGTCCTACAATTGTAGGAACGACCGACGATACGGGCCTCAATGGCTCAATAATGTCCCTTGACACGCAAGTAAAATTATTGGGCTTGTATCTAGATTTAGGTTTAAATTTCAAATACCACTGTGTATATATTGCTTCAAAGGTGAACTCCCAATCATATTTTATAAAAAATTTGCGTTACTTGACGATGCACAGATGTTTCTGTTTACTGTGCTCAAGTTGATGCACGACTGAGGTATATATTATGCTTCTGGGATTTATCCACAAATGTGCAGTAATTATTTTTGGCCCAGAAAAGAGCGGTTAGGTGTATGATCGGAGCATCTTAAAATTTTATTGAGGTTTATGTTTTTTAAAACATCAACATTAGTCTATTCGTTGCAAACCGCATAGTCAAAAATTCTCAAAGGGCTTTTATAATAGTTCTGCGAATAATAATAATTTAATTTTTGCCGCTGTGTATCCGCTTGGTCTACAACAGTAACACTTAACATTAAGTTTGAGAATAATTGTACATATCCGGCAGTACGTGTATTTTCCAGCGAATTTAGAGAATCGCCTCTTTTTTCGATGCGTTCCCCAGTTGTCCATTTCTGTACGGTTTAATTTCCATAGGGAGAAATAGCAAATTTGTTTATGTGTAATGTGCGAAAACGTAGGGCGCTAACAAAATTGTAACCAGAGATGCGGCTAGAATTTCTTCTATATTCGCTGTGCATCCGTAAATGCAAACTACACGAATAGTTGCGTTCGTTATGTAAGGGAAATGAGATAGTAAGCTCAATGTTTATGTTTTATACGCTTCCAACCTCACACATCATAGATTTCCCGTACGTTTGCCCTTAAAACTTAGAATGATAGAGTCATGCTTTCGATACGCGTCCCTGTTTCTGCTCTCAAGCTTCACCGGCGGACGTGCCGGTCCTGATAAAGTATACTGGCGTTACCGACGCGTCGAGAGGCCACGTATCGTGGAGAGGCGACGTTGCCAGATGTACAGTACTATCGCTAGGATAGGGAAATACTTCCTGTTGACTGTATGGACCTGTTTGACTGACCTGATTTGTTCAATTTCTCTGTTATACATGTTCGTAACTCATTTTTTCGCCGGATGTGATCCTTTATGATCTGATGACGACGTTGGGTGGGAAGTGCAGTCTCTGACGCCATTTTTGCAGTCCAAACAGAGATGAAATTTTTAAATCAGAGAATGTCTGCCTCACTGTAACGTTCAAACTACCAGCTACATACTTCTGCTACATTCGTGTACCGGACCACTAATCTAACTTAACATTCTTTTGATTGGTGGTCTCTACCCTAGAGTAGTAATCTTGTAAACGTTTGTACTTCTGACGGGGCTTAAAGTTGCTAATTATTATTGTGTAATATGATTTTAGTGAATAAAGTAAAATTTTTCTTGACAGTGAAAGCTGTTTGTGATCGAAAATGGCGAAGGACTTATTGCGTCTTATTGAAAGCTATAAAATGCGAGACGACAGCAAAATAGAATCGCCGCCAGGCTTTTTAAGACTATGCGAACTAAGAGTTTTTTCGTTCCTGTCAACATTTTCGATTGAATCTCAAAGAAACACGTTTTCTCATTCTTTGTTGTCGAATAAAAAGTTTTCTCACAAAAATTGGTGTACCCATTTTATGCGTCCATGTTTTGAATATCCCCTTGAATAACTTGCCCCAATAAAACCAGACTTTACAATTATTTCGTGGGAATTTGCTAATATGAGTAGACTATTATAAGGAATAAGATTGTTGTACATTAAATTTGTATTATTATTTGTCACGGTTTTTCTTTCAAATTCCAGAGAAGCCGCGGCTTCGGTTTCATCACGTTCTCCGAAACGTCGAGTGTCGAGAACGTGCTAAAGGTGCCCATCCACACGCTGGACGGCAAGAAGATAGACCCGAAACACGCGACGCCCAAAAACAGACCGCGGCAAGCGAATAAAACCAGGAAGATATTCGTGGGAGGCGTCAGCCAAGACACGTCAGCCGATGAGGTCAAAGCCTACTTTGGACAGTTCGGCAAAGTGGAAGAAACTGTTATGCTGATGGACCAGCAGACCAAGAGGCACAGAGGATTCGGATTCGTCACGTTCGAAAATGAGGATGTTGTTGACAGGGTGTGCGAGATTCATTTCCATACTATTAAGAATAAGAAGGTAAGTCGAAATATCTCGAAAACTATTAGCTTTAGACACTTTTAACAAGTGAACCTTTTTTTCGTGGAAGTAATAGAAATTAAGATTTTTCGGTCAGTTGTTGTCTACAGGGTAGCACAAAAAAGTTATGACAAGTTATTTACCGAAATAGCGCTGGAAGTGGCGCCCTCTAGAACTTTGTCCATAAAAAATAACGGATTCTTGTTTCTCGTACTAGTAAACCTCCCTATACAGAGTTTTATGCGAAAATCTGAAATACTTCTCAAGCAATAAGGAAAATAGAAAATAAAATTGTAACTTTGACACCCTGTATGTCGCTAACTATCAACTTTTGGACTAAGGTATGCTTAGGTCAATCCACATATTTTGGTCTGTAGTATCTCCAGTTTCGAGATTTCCGAACCTTTCGCAGACACCCGTATGCATATCTTTTTTGACGCTTGTAATTATTATTTTTAATATTAACTGATATCATTTGGTCAAGAACTCCTCTGTTGTAATTTTGTTGGTCTAGTACTTTGATCAGCTTGTCTGTTTACTAGTCCATTTTGCAGGGATTTTCCATTTTTAATTATTTTCTCTCTTTTTGTTTTGCTCTGCAAATAATCGCCATTATTATTAATGTAACTATTTCCATTTATTTCAGGTTGAGTGCAAGAAAGCACAGCCGAAAGAAGCAGTTCAAGCTAGCGCTCAGATCCTCGGCAAACGTCTGATGTTGGGCAGCTTAGGTGTGAGGATGGCGGCGCCCGCTCCAGGTGCGCTAGCAGCCGCCGTCAACCCGTTGGCTGCCGTTCAAGCGCAGGCGCACGTGCAAGCAGCCGCAGCGGCGGCGGCTGCCGCACAAGCGCAGTCGGTAGCCAGTTACGGCAAGCTGTTCGGCGCCTTCCCCACATTGGCGAGTTACAGGTATTCGCCGTACCCGATGGCGGCGGTCAGTGCCGGTGTCACCGCGGGACCTGCGGCAGCTGGTGAGTACTTTTATGTCTGTTTCATTTAGCATTAATGCTACAAAGACAATTTTCAATCCCTTTTCTGTAATTTCTTCTCATTCTTGTATATTAAAATTAAATCACTATGCATTTAGAGTATTCATAAATTGATTTTTTAATTTCACCTTAAAAAATTTTAAATTCGAACACTGTTTAATGTCATTACTAGACTGCGCACAGCTATATGCGATATTGTGGATTTCTGGTCTCTGTACGATGGATGCATATTAACGGTCATGTAAAATTATCATAGTAATTAGGACTTCATCATATTTCTACCGTAAATACACGTATTTAAACTGATGACTCAGCTTCGAAATACATACGTCAAAATATATTCAATTCCATCGCAATGCGCGAATCATATTCCGGTAGTTTTAGACATTCTTGAGGTTTGAAATATATTTGAAAATGTTTATTTTCGCGTCCAAAAAGGGACAATACTATTCGGTATGATCCAATATTGGATGAAGTGATCGTCATAAAGTCGAAAATGGCACGTCTTGGACGCGCTCGCTTTTGTAAAATTATCATACCTACACTACCCCGCCTAACCGGAATCCCGAATCTCGGGATAAAACCAGAATAGGGGAGGTAACATCTGTCAAACTCAAAATATAACTGCATAACTTGCAATTTTGTAATTTGCGGAGTTTAAAAAACGCGATCGCTCTAGGTGTTGTATATCGGGGTAACCAGGAGAATTTTGTCTTTCGTTTTGCGAAAAAAAAAATCGTAGCTGTCCCGCTTCGTAAGAAGGTCTGTATCGAAGAAGACAAAGTACGCCGAAAAATGGCTTGTCATCAGTACCTTTGTGGCTCTAAAAGTTTGCTGTTTCGAAATCTGACGGGAATTCTAACAGTCAGGTTCGTTTCCTATGCTCAAAATGTTTATTTTTCAATCGCTATATAATTTTTATCTTGTATATATATATATATATATATACAAGCAATTGACCAGGACAAAGCCGGAAACATTGATCGAAAAGTAGCATATAGTCGAGGAATTTAAAAAATCTAAACTTTTGAACGAAAAGGAATAAAGAAATAGAGAAGACGCTATCCAAATGTCCGATGTTTGGGCTTTCTCACACAAAAATCTTTAAATTCGTAGCTCCGTTATCTTTGGAGGAGATAGACATTGAATATCGAACAGTACGAAAATCTACCATTTTTTCGACTTTAATAGCCATTTCAAAACGTTCTTCGTGCTCGTACCTCGACGCTTCGTATACGGTCGTAAAGCGCCGAGTTTCTAGTTTCCGGCGGTATCGTTTTCCGATAAAACCAATTGCCATCAAAAAAAACTAAAGATCACGACTTAATATTGTCGATTCAATTTATTATACTGCCTCTAGTTTCGTAGGTATGATAATGAGTTATGACTATTCAATTTTGTGGTGGTAATAAATGATTTTTTAATTTGAATATGAAAATGAGAACTAAATAACATTTGAAATGTTTCACATTCAACCACTATAGTTATTCTACAGTAGACATAATCCTAGCATATTTGTTTTTATTTAAAATGATAGTAATAGTTTTATTTTTAGAATTTGTAATTTTGAAAATATATTTCATTGGCGGTAAACAAAAGGGTTGAACATTATAAAAAATTGGGAAGAATTATAGTGTTAAACTCTTTGTACTTAAAATGTATTTTTTACTTTTTAGTTCGGTTAGCTGAAAACGCGTGTTTTTTTAGTTTTTTTTTCAACTATTATTTATGTTATGGAAATTTATGTACTTATCAACCAGAAAGTTCGTGCTCCGGGTATCTTTTACTCGCCCTCTTAACCCAATTCTGGGTTTCCGCATTTTCCCTCAAGGTAAACCCTGTGCCTCGGTTGAACTATGCTGCGGAAATTAATCCAATTCAATTATGCATACTACCTGCTACTCTCCAATTTTGAAATAGCTTTACAGCTCAGATGTAATAACGTACAGCAACTGTAACACATCTTGTCTATTATCTTTTATTTACGATTTTAAATTTTAATATTGTCGTTGCTCGCTATATTACCTCAAATACTTGAATTCGCGCTGAGCATTCGGAGATTTCCGTAAACCGGATCGTATTTCCGTTTGTTGGCTTGTCGTAATTAATGGAGTAAAGCTGTCCAAGCTGCGAAATCCAATATTCCAACAGAAACTTGATAATTTATGTAATCAATTTGTGCAGCAGGAACCGATTTGACGTTCTGGATTATTACTTAGAGCAATTATAAATGATGGAAGCATGATAAAATTGGGGATACCGTTTGCAACCGTATAACAAAAAATGAGAGAAGTAATAAAAGGTACATAAAATCTCATTAGCTTGTTTCTAGCGTTACTTGAGGCACGAATTTCTAGAGATCATTTGTCTGCCTATACTTCAAGCTTTACAGTTATCTCTGCATATCTCAATACACAGATTGAAATGTTTATCAAAAGTCGGATTTTATATTGAAGATTTAAAAATAAGGTGCATCGGGTCTAGAAACGCTGCTTAAGATTTTTACTGCTCTGCAAATTATTTGAAACTCTATCAGAAAATAGATCATGATAGTCAAATCACAGTCAATTCATGAAGTATTATTAAAACGCGAAATAAGTTAACCCAGAAAAAAGACGTGCAGACCAAGCTGTTGGACGAGGGTCAGTGTTCACAAGAATCGACTGTGTAGTTAATGAAGATACAACTGTCAAATTGCAGCAAATAACTCATACATTGATAGAATTGATAATCCTCTACGAGTCGTCTTATAACTTGCCATAAATTAATGGGGCTATGATGTTTTTTACTGTGCCTTTTGAGAATCTATTCGTTCCTAAAACTGTTCTTGATAATAGAAACTGAACCTCCTTGGTATAGCAGGTGTTTCTGCGATGTTCTCAATAAATTCCGAGGTCTGTAAATTATGTGATGAGGCTGATTTTTAAATTTTATTTATTCAAATATAATTGCAATTTTATACTGCCGCCCTCAAAATATCTTCCTTCTGAAGCCACGCAACGGTTCTTCCACTCCTGATAGCAGTGCTGAAACTGCAAGACTGGAATAGCCTCAATTTTTTCGACTGTGCCAAAATGAGTTCTCTTGATGTGATTTTTTAAATTCGGGAAGAGAAAAAAGTCACAAGGACTCAATTCATGCGAATGTTTATACTGGCCAAACACTCGTTTACTGACATTCATGTGTGACAAGGAGCATTATCGTGATCGCACCCAGTTGTTCTTGGTCTGACTCAAATTTAACTCTTCCCCGATCATTCTGACTCTCAACCGACGATCTGAACGCACAAGATCCCGGATTCCGTCGATATTTTCATCGGTTCTTGAAGATGCAGGCCTTCATCTTCAAACGACTCTCTTCTGAAAATGCCTTAAACCACCGAAAAACCTGGGCTCTTGACAAAACTCTATCCCCTTGGGGCTGTTTAGTAATCGTTTCCGTTGCAATGTGCCCAAGTCCGAAGCAAAACCTGTTAGCACACTCATGTTTTAAGTTGACGTCATTTTTAGAAAGCAATAGAAAAAACTGTTTTACAAGAAAATCGCTACCGGCAACGAAATAACTTGAGCGAGTTCAAACTTGTATTGAAGGCGGATCGCAAGTTCCCCTGTCTCCTCTCCAAGCCCGGCGCTTCCAGTGTTGACGACTTTGAGAGTACACGAAAATTACTTAACCTGAAAAATTCCCGAGAGCGACTACCCACTATGATTCACGAAATAACTATTGAGGGTTTCCCGAGTAACAAGGGACCCTGAAGTGATGATTGTGAATGTCACTCTTAGTAATCAGGATTCATACGTATTTCAATAACTGTCTGGTACGTTTCTATAAGCGCGCGCTTTGTTTCAGGAGCTGCTGGTAATCACAACCCAACGAATGCCCCCGCCACGGCAGCGTCGGCCCCCGCGTTGGCTGCAGCCCCTGGACCAGTAGCCGCAGCCGCCAGCCCCTACCAGGGGTACAATCTCACAAACGTTGACATGTCAAGCTTCCAGGTATATGTGAGCACATTTTACTCTGTTATTTAGTTAGTTTTCATTTCTTCGCACTACACTTCATCTATTAGTTTAATAAATACTCTAGGTGACTTAGTCGTGCCAATATTTCTGAGCTACTAAGTAGTAGTAGGCATTTATTTACTCCATTATATAAGAACAATAACAACATAGGATGGGTCAGTAAATGCCTTAATCCACAGAAGGACAATCCCTGTACATGGATCAGTTGTATGTTTGAATGTGTTCCAAAATCAAAACAAAAAAGTTCAAAGTAACTAGAAAAATTTATGATGATCATTTTTAAGGAATATTTGATAGTGAATCAATAATATGTTGTCTTCTTATTGCGCTATTTATTTTGACATTTTTTTTTAATTTATGTGCATTTCGAAATTGTTTCAAGTCTTGGGGTATGTGCTCATATACATATGTGTGGAGCCAAATAGAGAAAAGATCGCTTCATTATGGTCTTATGAGGTTTATGGCAATGTGTGATTTTATCGCGCTCACTGACAACTTTGTGATAATGGCTGATAGTATATAAAAAATACAAAAAAACAAAATTTTCTGTCAATATGCCTGTGAGAAATTTAATTTTAAAAATGTAAAAAAATTCCTAAATATTTGATATTGTCCACTATTTCAATTTTTAGATTTGTATTGTTTATTTTGAAGAAAAGATTTTAATAATCTGGTAGATGTCTTGTGTCTTCTCGTGTTGAAAAAATGAATGATTTTGTAAGTCATTTTCAGATATTCTCTTTACATCATACCAGTCTTGCGCTTTATATATATATATATATATATATATATATATATATATATATATATATATATATATATATATAAATATTATATAGGGTGTTTCACAACTTATCCGACAAATTTTAACAACATATGCACTGTTACGAAAGAGGTTGAATTTTCAAAAAAATGTAATAAAAATCCTACAGAAATCGAGATAATAAAAACAAACGAGAAGCCGCTCGCGAATTTTGCCCTGCTTCTTATGCTTAACTCCTCATTAGTGAGCACATGTGCCATTTTTATTAATAAATAACTAAAAACATAAACTCTCAAAATACTTTCTTATTTAACTTCACGATAAATGGACCGTTCTTCATTCAGATCACCCACGATTCAGATTAAACCTTATTTACACGTTCTTGTCTGTATGAAAAGACAAAAAATTCCTGGTATTTTGTTTTCGCGAGTTGTTTAGTTCAACATTTGCTACAATAAATTATTAACGCGTGTTCTAATATCACGCAAAATACAGATATTTATTTTTTAATTTATTATTGAAACTCAGGTTTATGAATTAATTTCTGTAGGACTACATTTTTTTTTTGAGAAATCAACTTCTATCGTAACAGTTCATCTGTGGTTAAAATTTGCCGGATAAGTTGAGAAACACCCTGTATAGTATTGCCGTATCGTCAGCAAACCTAACTATTTTACCTACACAGTTAATTTTGAATATATCATCCAAATAGATATTAAATAAAAGAGGGCCTAACACTGTACCCTGATTGTACCCTACATTTGACAAACATTTCCTTACTGTAAGATTTTGATAGTTTCACTACTTTGCATTTCCCACGAAAACCTAATTTGTCCGAAATATTTAGCAGCAAACTGTGATTAAGTATATCAAATGCCTTTTTCATATCGGCAAATTCACAAATAGATGGAATTTTCTCATTAAGGCTTTGGGTGATTTGATTCACTAGGCTTACTATACCATCTATGGTAGATTTTCCGCCTAAAAAGCCGTGTTGATGTGTACTTAAAATTTTGAAATTGTCAAGGAAATGTTATCATCTTACTAGAGAGTAATTTTTCGAATACCTTGGCCATAGTCGATATGAGTGATATTGGTTTTGTTTCTCCTACAAGTTCTATACATTTATTTTTGTATTGATTATATTTTTCTTTCGTTTGTAATTCTTTCATCAATTTATAGCATCTTTCTTTTTCATGTGTGGATTTTATCGGCCCTTCAGTTATCCATTTGCTTCTACCCTTCTCTTTATATTTAGTTTTACTTTATTTAGCTCATTCCACGATTGATTTTCATTATCGGTTATTAATTTTGTGTTGTCAATGAAATACTTGAATTTTTTGTTGTTTTCATTTTCGACGTGTACAAAACATGAACACATGTTACTTTGACGTATTTTTGGGATAAAAATCTTTGCCTGACTCCGTGCCCAAAGACGTTATGCCATAATCCCCGAGATGTTCTAATGATCTGTTTTGTTGCAGGGCGTTGACTGGGGCTCCATGTACGGTGTAGGCATGTATGTCTGAACGTAGGACGTCATCTGCCGGCTAGTCGCTCATCCTCTTTTCACTACTTATTAAAGCTACCGTGTGCATGTATTGTAACAGAGAGAAGAAACAATAGAAACACGAGTGCTCGTTTGGCGGATTTCCAAACATGTTGCTAACACTTTTTTCGCTGTCTTGTGTCAACCGTGCAGAGACAGATCACGCGTAAGCGTTTTTAATAATTATATATTGGAGAATACTCATATCCCTTTTGTGGCTTGATATCGTACGCGGCAAGGGTGGATAAGATCTGATGACAGTCGGTCAATTAAGAAGCCTTTTTCGTATAAGAATGGTGCCATTTTGAACACCAAGCCATATTCAAATCTCATTTGCAAACACCAGCACGCGATGCTCAAATTCGCAGGCCACAAATGCCTGGGCAGGCAGCAACAAGCAGGTTCGTTTTGAACCGGAGTAAAAGAGGTTTAGTACTCTTTTTTGCTAAATTTTTATGAGTTCATTACATGATGCATTTTCGCGAGCCTCATTGAAACGATATACGTAATTTGCTCAATAACTTTATAGTTTGTATCTTAAATCATTATTTAATAACAGTGAACAAACTTGAAGTTAAATATATCGGTGGTCATGGTCTGAGTAATTTGAATATGTTGAAAGTTCTCAAATTTAGAATATCTAAAATCTTTGTATATGTATATTTAAGAATATATTTTATATTTGGACATTTGAATGAAATTGACCTCCTGTTCTGTTTTGTAGGTGAGAGTTGCTATTAAAAGTCTAAAAGACATAAGTTGACAGCTTAGAAAGGAAACCCAATTTATATTTCTATTTACAGTTAAAACCGTTTCAATATTTTACTTGATATTTTTTCACTTTTCTTGATTAGGATAAAAATAAACTAAGCTAGTTTACAGCTTCTCATACCGCCAAACATGATTTTTTTGTGATTGTTTTTCTTTGGAAGTCTGGTACTTTTCACCTAATAAAACTATCATGAAGATCTGTCACACCCTTGTACAAATGGGAGGCGTACATTGCGATATGCTGTGGCAGTAACTCTGAACCGCGGTTGCGCTCCTAATGGACATGGCTCCATCTATATGTCTGCTATCTGCTCATCTCAGCATTTCGGCAATAACTCGCAATAATCAGTATTAATTGGATACATTGACGTTTCCAATCTGTACCGTTGGTCGGTCGTTTTGAGCGCGCACCGAGCTTGGGAAGTTTTTCAGAAAACGCTAAATATTACAAACAGTCGGTTGAAATATAAATATTATAAATATACAGGATGTTTCAGAAATAATACGCCAGAGTGACACGAGAGGTAGATTGACTTCAGATCAATCAGATAAAATCGACATGACCTTGGTAAAAGCTTTCTAATTTTCGAGATATTGCCACTTTTAGGTTATTTCAAAAAATCACTTTTTTGCCTGTTGTGGCTATTAAGAACTTCTGAGTTTTTTCCTGGGCTACCATTAATAGTTGGTTGAGACAACCGAGGATTCATTTCATGCTAAAAAAAATGACACATTTTGTTTCAATGTGAAAACCTCTACGAAAGTTTAACTAATTACTGTGAAAAAAATGTACCAGACTGAATCGGCAAATGATCTTAAAAACTAGCCATTTAATGCTCTTTTAAAAATAGTATTGCATTTTGTAGGTTCTTTCTACCGAAAATTGAATAAGTCCAAGTTTTGTCATTGAACTCGTAATACTTGCGAAATGCTACAAATAAAAAATGAGTGGTCAATCTTTTGTATCCCAATCACTAAGTAATGAAACGACCTAACCATGTACTGCTTCTTGTGTTAGTGCTACACACGTAGAAAGAACCTACAAAAGTTATACTGCTTTTGAAAGAGCATTAAATAGGCTAGTTTTTGAGATCATTTGCCGATTCAGTCTGGTAAATTTTTTTTTCGCAGTGATTAGTCAAACTTTAGTGAACGTTTTCACATTGAAACACAATATATTAATTTTTTTTTTCGCATACCGTGCTAGTTTTCAATGAAGTGAATACTAGGTTGTTTCAACCAACTATTAATGGTAGCCGAGGAAAAACTAATAAGTTAAGCGTTCTTAATAGCCATAACAGGCAAAAAACAGCAAAAATAGTGATTTTTTTAAAAATCCTAAAAGTGGCAATATCTCGAAAACTAAAGAAAATACATTATGTTGATTTTATCTGATTGAAATGAATCCAATCTACCTCCCGTGTCACTCTGGCGTGTTATTTCTGGGACACCCTGTAGAGTAATATAGCAAGTTCATATACAAAAATCACAACAGACATTCTTCGAGTTACGTAAAATAATCGCTCTGGTAGCGATCTCATCATCATTTTTTTTTGTCTGTAAAATAAATGGGCTATTGATATGTCTGAAGTAAGTTTAAAGTGGTTTTTAGTCTTTTGTATCTTAACAAGTAAAATGCAATTAAAATTCATGCATAGACGGACATGATACTTCCTTTAAATATATCAATACTTTCAGATAGATAGCGATTTCTTCAAAAACATTGATGTAATACATCCTATAAAATGATAGATTGATGGTAAGCTTTGTTCTTGAAACCATTGCATGCAAGGTTTTGTTGTTGAGATATTGCCACTTTTGTTAAAGCACATGCGTCAGTTAAACATTTCTCTTCCTATTGCTGACTGTAAACATGGATAAACTTCCCAAGTCTCGTTTGCAGCTGATTACGAATAAAAAAAATCCTGCGTTTTACTCTTTTCGCTCTATCCTAATATTCCTGGTTGAATGGCAATAAAAATAACTTTTAAGCGGTTTTATTGGATGTATTGGATGTACTTAAATTTGTAACTCGGTACTTAATTTATTTTGATGAGTGCATTTCTCTGAACGATGCGGTGATACATTCGAAAGCTGTTAGGTTATAATTATTATTCATACTGATTATACTCTTTACTACTGATCTCATTCATCACCATTTTTTTGAGGTACGGTTACGCAGGGATGGGAAGGCGTGGGGCCGTATCGGCAGTCGTTCCTACAATTGCATGACGCCTTTATGGCCTTGATTTTCATAGTCTTTTCTCTCCTTCAGAAAGGCTGGTGTATTTCTAGATTTCTACTGTTCCGTGTCAGCACCAGCGCTCTCCTATTGTGAGGCTATGTTTTCTGTTTGAATTGCAAGAAATTTCAGGCTGATATAAATCAGAGGCATGAACAATTTGATGCAAATAGGCATTTGTAGCATAACCTCAAAATAGAGCGCTGACATGGCACAGTAGAAAACTATGAAAATCAATTATAGTAGGTCGCCTTTCTGGCCTGCTTGATTTTCATAGTTCTTCCTGTCCGTCAGAAAGGCGCTCTATTTTGAGGTTACAAATATCTGCATCAAACTGTTCATGCTTTTGATGTATATCATCTGTTACATAGCCTGAAATTTCCTACAATTCAAAAAGAAAACATAATCTCACAATATGACAGCGCTGATGCTGGCATGGAACAGTAGAAAGCTAGAAATACCCCAGCCTTTCTGAAGGAGAGAAAAGACTATGAAAATCAGGTAGGCGATGAAGGCGTCCTACAAATATTGTAGGAACGATTGACGATACGGCGCTTACAGAAATGCTAACTAATAACAAGCTTGTCTTCAACAATATCGGACGTCAAATACCTAAGTGTATTTTAAACGTGTAGACTTAAGAGTCATATTTACTTATATGATATTAATGTAAGGAAGTAGCTTAAGGTAATGTTTAACTGTTTGTGAGTAATCTCACCGAATCAATTAATAGCTATTGCATGAACTGTTCAATAAGACGATGTACAAATATGGTTTTTATAAACATATTCATGACCAAAAAGTATGAGTCGCAGAGACTCGATCAAAATAAGTAGTTGAAATGATGTTTTCTTCCAGGTGTATGGATTATTGTGTGATATACATAATTTTTCATGATATACAATTTTTACCTTGCTTGCTCTACGAATCTTCAATATAACCAATGTGATCTGTAGAAAGCTAACATCCTCTCCATTAGGCAGCTATAATCGTTTTCTTGTTTAGCGTGGTTCAATCTAGCGACAGTTTTATGGTGATATCATAGTTTTCATTAAAATAATGAATACCTAGTATATAAAAGACATAAACACTGAAGGAAAGCCAGACTGTTGAAAGATTGAGCCACCTCCTACTTTTTTTTTATTTGAGATTCTACGAAATATGTTCAGTTTTAGCATTTTTGTAAACAAAATTATACAAACTCGAAATTACAGTGCAGCTACTACTTCATGAATCATCTTTGGATCGACTAAGGCTAGAAAAAGATGATTTAAGTTGCAAATTACATTTTCGCTTTATAGACCCAGTCAGGCGATAACAGATCTGATAAACGCTATTATCCCCGAGTAATCCTGCACACAGTGTTAATCATTGTCGATATTTCTTTCACTTGAAGAATATGACCTATAAAACGTTATTCAGTGACCATAACCAGGAACTTATTCAGATTTTTCTTTTGACATATTAAAAATGACATTTTGACTTGTAACGGGTTCGTTGCAAAGTGAAATGACTGTTGTTGTAACCTGGTGTGCTCATTTGAATGGACAAATTTTCAAGCTGTATGCAGAATTACCAACTTTTATACAAGGTAGTTAGACCCGCCTACATTCCTTATTAGCTGTGTATCGAGTTTTTAAGACATAAATGTGATTCGCGGACCAATGAGTTCGCAGCGTGGCCTTGGTGCCATTACGCTGGAAACTAAGAGCTATCTAGCTTGAAAAAATGCAAGATTTACTATTGATCGGTAAGTCTATTCTGTTATAGTCATCTCAGTTTCATTTTTTTTTGTTGACAAATATTTTTGCTCAAAAATATGATCATTTGAAAATATACCTCATATCAGATGGGTTAACTATTTAAACTACAATGTCAATTTAAAAAATATGAAGAATATTAGATAGAAACGAGAGGGGCCTTGGCAAATATAGCGCTGATCTCGAAAAGACCCCATTTTAAGTAGTCTGGCACATGGTATAATATATAACATTAATTTGAATGTGTTGTTTTACTATATGTATTTTCTCCATTTCAAATATTTGTGGTGGCATAACGGTTTAAGTGCTTGGATCATTTTGCCACTTCTTAAAACAGCACATCTGTTAACCTAGTTTTTCTACAACTCAAAAGATGCGCAGCACGTTTTAGAATGATTTGGATCGTTTTGCCAATAAGTAATTTTTAGTTTTAACTATGTACTTAAATCATTTTTTTAAATTGCCCCTTAGACGCTTCTGGTTTTTACCTCTTCAATTTGAATTGATTTGGATCGTTTTGCCAATAAGTAATTTTTAGTTTTAACTATCGATATGTGTACTTAAATCATTTTTTTTAAATTTTCACTTAGACCCTTTTGGTTCTTACCCCTTCATTCAATTGTGTTGTTTTACTATATGTATTTTCTCAAAACAAGACTTTTTTGTCCATGAGACAGCAGAGTGTTGTGTTATGAAATGCTATGAGAACCATCATATATGTATTTTGATCTGTTTTTGTTTATGGGTATTTTTTTTTGTTCTGGGTGACGATATTGAATGTACCTATAGTATTTTTTTTTGTAGAGATCTGCTTTTTTGTTTTTTTTTACATATGAATCGTAGTCATAATTGGCTACGACGAATTTATAAGTACTTGCATTTTTTACAGCTGGAATCGTATTTCTTAAATTTCCACGGTCAAACTAGCCAAGAAAGGGACATTGTCTCCCTTTTTTAATTAGATGGTCTAATCACTTATATAGTACTTAACTCAGTATTCTTCTTTGACTGACTTGCTCTTAGTTTCATGCCGCTTGTAGTTTTAAAATATTCATTTTTAAAACATACAGGCTTAGTATTAGTTGTCCTACTTGGTGACAGGCAGTGTGGTACAGCCATGTGATAGTTGTTGGGCTATCCTGTGCCTGTCTCCTGCCAAGATGCTGGTGATGAATCCGCGGATTATCATTAATTTTTTCCAAATAGCTATCTTTTTTTTGAAAGTATTCATAATTTAACTTACAAACCTAGAACATGAGGATTGAGCTTACAAGTACTGTTTTTGATGTACTTGGAGTCTTGAGACTTGATAGTAACTGGATCTGGACAAGCTTTCATACTAGTATGACATCTTGCCAATTTGAAAAACGAATCCCATTTTCTAACGCTGTATAGCAGTTCTAAATTTTGACCGTCTTCCCACTGAAAATTAAAATGATAATCAGCCAGGATTCCGTATTGATGGTCCAGTGCCAAAAGTTTTCTCCCAGCTAGTATCTTGGTTGGGACTAGTCGTATTGACTTTGTAAAATAAATATCCAGTTGACAAGCAATAAGCGTTGTGAGACGAAGAATGAACCCTCTATTTTTGTATTTGATTATAAGGTGTTAAGACAAATAAAAAGGTTTCTTTTTTTGGTTTTCACTTTCCGAGTGAACACTGTATATAGCTTAGCGTTTTCTCAGAGGGTTGATTTCACTTGTAACAAATGTTCGATGATTAGTATTAAGGGTTCAACAGATGGCTGGTACAAAAAAATGTAGTCACACTGACAGCTTTTTTATTTCTATATTGCTTTGGTAGCAGAGGTCTCAAGTTTTTCCATTTGGATCATGTTATGATTGATCAGAACCGGTTGATAAGCTGGAAAAATTTGAAACTATTACAATATTCAACTTACTATCTTTCCATCTATAACCAACAAACAGTTGGCTAATATAGGGTTTATCATATATTCATGATATTATTTGTGGTTTAGAACTGTAACTCAAGGTGGTGGTTTCTTCTGATATTTCCAATGTTCCTTAAACCAAGCATGTTGTGTTGTGATTTTATGCTATACCCTGTATAGTTCATGTTACTTCTTTAGCCTCTTTCTGTATCTATCTGTGACTTACATAAGATTTCTTCACTATCCCTATATTATATAGTGGAACATTGTGACATATATAATTACAATAAGTGGACCAAAATGTATAAAACATAGTCACTCGCTCACGTAGCATTTTTAATCAACTTTTGTCTTGAATTTTCACTCAAAGATTGGTGCGCACTGACAAGAAGACATCGATATAAATATATTTTGTATCCTTACACACATTGTTGCATTTGTTTAAAATGTGAATTAATATTTGGAGGTTACGATAGAAATCACCACTAGATAGAGAAATGCTAAAGACGTAACTATTGCTGAGTGTATAGTTTTATACTCATCAAGAGGATGATGGTGTTGTACATTTTGACACATATGTCTTCATCGACAATTACTGAAATTACTTTCCCCTTACGAATGTTCATACGTTACTACCAAGTACTTGCCAGTTTTTGCTACACTGTTTAGAATAGCCTATAGGCAACCAATCAAGTGTGATATTATTCAACATCTAACAATCAGCAGGTAGCAGTTTCAAATTTTTGTCACATTTGATTGATTGTCTAAACGTCTGATAGTCCAGTATCTGCATCGTCTAGGAAAATGTTCCGATTCAGTTTTATTGCATAACCTTAATCAAAAAGTAATTATATTTAATATTTTCAGGCCCAAAATTGCGTCAAAAAGTATTTAATTTTTTATAATTCCAAACAGGTGCGTTTTTTTTTTGTTTTGTTATTCTGAATGAAAAAGTTTCTTATGCCTTTTCTCTGTCGTTAATAGTTTTCTAGAAATAAGTGATTTAATATTTGAAAAGGTGCAAAATGTGCTATTTTCAACCTCGAAAAACAATAAAAAAACGGAAATTTTGTTGCCTAATGTTCATGTTGCTTGATTAGCAATTAAAAAACAAGTTTACAATGACAAGTAGGTACCCCCTAAAATGCGTTCATGGATGCTTTAGAAATATTTAGAAACTCTAGCAACATTAAAATTTTCATATTGCTTTGCTGGGTTGAAAAGTGCAAACATTGCACTTTTTCAAATGTAAAATCGCTTTTATGTCGAAATTTGTCAACTTTAAAGGAGAGTTCATAAGAACTTTTTTTGTTCCGAATGACCCAACAATCATCGGGAGCGAAAAACTAATTTTTGTTTTAAGTTTGTTTGGACTACTTTTGACGAAATGTTGGACCTCGCAATATAGAGTCGTTAAAAGGTTTTTTTTTTAAATAAGATCATTAAAAAAATGAATAAGAATATTTTCCCAGCGTTTGTGAAGATACTCCTGGACTAAAATGACTACTAACCAGTTTGGGACGCTTCGTATACTAACTAGACTTTTTTGTATCAGTACATAACTGTATAGACACTTATGTTTAGGTACTTGTCATGTATTTTAAAATTACAGTAGTTACATAAGTAATGTATAATTTTCCTAGTATTAGAAGTTAGCTGTACCTAGTATCTAAATGTGTAGTGTAGTTAGCGGCTTAAGCCGCATTTGCACTGTAGTTCTGTCGTTATAAATAAAGTAGTTTCATAAAGTAGACTTGCTTGATCAATCCCTTAACGTATCAATATGCTTGTACTGGGCCCCAAGCGGCTGAAAAGACGACAGACTGATGCGAGTTAAGCGAAACTGAGACTCTTATTAACACGTATCGCATTTATTAGTTAGTTGAATTAGCTAGGAAGTTTCAAAAGTTAAATACAGCTGTTTTACGCTACCTTATAGGAAACCATCTCAGGGATTGTCTGGATTACTTTTAGCCAATATTTGTTCTTGTAGATATAGATAGTAGATTATCTTGATGAAGCTCCTAGTTCCACAAAATACCTTTTCATTTATGACAAAATCACTGGATCTATTTTGGCGTATAACCTCATTACTTCTTTAAATCACAGTTTTCATACTTTTTGTCTAGCAGTTTGAGCTTTACTCCACAAGTGTTGGCTGAAGCTTCCTCCTAACAATTCCTGAAAATAATTCTCATAGGTTATACTTTCCAAATTGCTAATTTAATTTTTGAATTTCGGGCTTTTCTGCTATTAAGGTATATTCTAGATCTCTGTAGATATCGAAAACAAACCTACGGGATTTTATTTCTACCCACTACTCTTTGGACGTAGCATTTTCATTTATTTTTTGTATTAGCTAAATGCTGCTATTATCTACTTTTTTGTAGTTTTCATGATAATCTTACAAGTGGGCACCTTTTGGGTCACTGATTTGGCAGTAGCTCTGTGTATTGAAAGAGACCTGCTAGTATCATATATTCATAAAGTGCTTAATTTGAAAATGTGGGAGAAATTTCTCGCAGAAGTGCCATTTGTTAAAGTTTCACAAAATACCAACTTACGAAAATTATGTGATAATAGGCAGCTTGTAAGGTATTTTACAAAAGCATCTGTCAGCATATTTTAATTTTAAAAAATTGCTGTTTTTAAATAAAAGGCAGTAGACGTAGGGACAAACCAGTTATCATTTGTATTAATTCTCTCATTTAATGGTACATTAAAGAATGATAATTATCATAAAAACAAACAAAGCATACGTTGAACTGACATCGACTACAAAAAATAATTTACGCGTTTGAGAAGCACGTTTTTTCTACTTATCAAAGGGAAAACATAATAAAATAAATCTCTTTAATCTCTTAATCATTTTCTGGAAAATTGCTGGTGATAATCGCTGATTGAATAATGCGTACGGATTTTTACGAGATGAGATTACCCTTTTTTCTTTCGACCAAATATGAACAGTTTTGGATGTTTTAATAAATTTTTTGATTTGCCGGCGAAAGTAAACATTGCAATTGCAGTGCATTTGGGAGGAATAATTTTTACAGTACACGTCAATTCTTGCATTCAAGCATTTCTGAAACTCAGAACGAATGGTGGGACTGACCGTTTCGAGAGAAATATCTTTCTTATTTTTAAGTTGTGCACCTCAAGACTAGGAATATACTAACTATACTACCAAGTCTCTATTAACACAGAGCTGCGCAACATCGGTGGTGTCTCCTTGTTAGTATGTATGGCCTTCGAAGGACATCTAAATTTTGTATCGTACCGTTTCAAATGGCTTTCAAGTACAATTTAGAAGTTGCTAATAGTGCATGCGATCCGTTTATTAATTTCTCGATTTCCTTTGCAAACATTAGGTCATTGTTAGTTGTAGATTATTTGCCTCTAACATATCAATTTATTACATCCTAATCCTCACACTTACATATCACATGTTAGGATCTTTTGAATACTCTCATCGCTGTGTTCTAATGTTTGCAAATTTACTAATCTAGTCAAAGACTTGCTTTAAGACTCATAAAGGCCCCAAAATAACCTGAATCATTCTGTCATAAATAGATATCGTGCTCGCATAATCTGTATACAGTATTTCAAAAGCAATTTCGAAATCTACTACCAATGTCTAACCACATTTGCGGACCAGTAAAATCACTCTTAATATTTTTCAGATGAGTGGATTTTCAGTGCTGCACTGCACTAATCTGTGCATTCTTCATCGTTTAAATGCTTGACTATAATTTAATCTAACAGGTTCTATATGTGGATGACTGTTGAGTCAGAACAAGGGTCTTCAAAATAAGTTCAATGAAAAAACTACGAACCGTTTCTATAGTTAGGATTCTAATACAATTTTGATACAAAGGACAGAACACCTTAATTACTTCCACCAATGGTGGTGCAGGAACAAGTAAAACGGAATAATTTGATAACGTTAACAAACCTAATATTTTGAATGATTTGGGACTTGATTATTTTTTGTCCTTTTCTAAATGTTCAAAATTTATTTGACGTCGTTTTTCTATCTGGTTATTTCAGGCCATAGTAGAAATATACAAGGTCTGTAAAATAAATGATAAGACTATTTTTTTTAACTCACTTCGGACAACCGAATGACTCGAGAGAGTTCAAACTTGTACTGGAGGCAGATCACATGTTCCCCTATCTGCCGTCTAAGTCTGGCGCCAGATCGAACGCTACGTGGAAAGTCTCATCATTTAATTTAAATACCCCGTAGGTTCGAAAATTCTGAAACCAGCTATGCCTTCTATGGTTGCACACAGCGCTCGGATTCTGTCTAAATTGTCTCTTAACAGTAACTTATGGAAAGAGTGCACATATAACTGAAGATCAGACTGAGACAACCCACTTGGGGGGGGGGGTTCTCGAAAAAGATGAGATTTCCTCATTTTCGCAAAATTGTGTGGCTGTAAACAAATAAATTTATTGCTTCATTAAAAAACTCGTGGGACTATGCCCAAATATGCCTTTAGATTTGTTTGTGAAAATATTCATACTTATTATTGACAATTCATACCGAATGATGATATGATTACCTAGTGAGCACATGAAAATATGCATTATATATAGCCTTGTTGATATGTTGTGTCTCATGTCTCTGTTATACAAATAACTTTACTCCCACAGGTAGCGAGTCGATCCTTTTACTAAATTATTCATCCATACAAATTAATATGATTTTACCTTGCTGACGTCAACTTGGAACTAGCTGTCGTTCACTTCATGCTCATTTGTAGCAAGGGCAGAACGAACTGTTTGTACACTAGCCTACTTAGTGAACAAGCTGATATAGGTTTTTTGACATTACGTAATAACCGAGCTGGTCTACTATAAATGACTGTCTGGGATTGTCGGACATTCATTGTTGGAAAGTACCGATAAGTCCGGGCCTGTATAGAGAAAGCGTCGAAATTACACTGGGGAAATTGCCTGATTGTAGCTTCTGGCTTAAATATTCTGTGATGTAACTCTACCTGATCTAACCAATCGTTTTTTACGAAAAAAAAATCATGATGTTCAAATCTCCAAAATTATACCCACACAATTTAAACTGTTGTAATGTTCATCTCGTACGAAAAGCTATAATTTTTGAGTGTATAACCATTTCGTGCTCTTAATTCGACACATGAACCGCATGGGGAGATTTAACGTTATAGCCTGGCAGCAGGATTCTACGCTCAAGAGAACCCTTTTTCTGTAGCGATTAGGGATGTTTGATATTCCGAACTGTCTGATCGCAGATTTGACAACTCCACGTTATGCGGCCATCTCTGATACCGGTAAGCTGTGGGTTGGTTGCAGGAGCGTTTGATAATTGAGCTGCCATCTAGCGGATTATAAGTCTCTTGCGACCTAGCATTTTCCCTCAAGCGTACATTCTCATATTTCCTCTACCGAAATGACTACAATAGACGCCTGGAAACTGTCTGTCTGGGTGTGTTATAAGATTATGGAGCATTAGATATCTTTATCGTAGTTACCAAATATATTTCTATACCAAAGAATCTTAGTTATTTTGTCTAGGAATGATTCAGAGTTGGCGACCTTACAGAAAGACAAAATGGTTTTGAAGTAGATATTTTCTAGTTCCTTTCAGAGCAAGAATCACTTCTTAATCAATAACAATTGACAATTTGGATTAGCAGTACAAAAGGATACTAGTCAATGATTCATATGTTGTTGGCGATATTTATAACAAATAATGTGTCTTACCTCAAATGTAAGGGTATTTCTTCACCGTTGATTAAAATGTAAAATGTCAAGAGGCTACAATTTTCCAAAATTTTAGATACGACCAAAAAACAAATGAAAATGATAATATAGGTGTTACTACTGCATCCTGTGATATCCACACTGCACGGTCTGTGTCGTATCTGTACCCGTGCCTTAACCTACGTCAAGGACTATAGTATTGACCTAGTTACGTAGAACATTTGGAGGACTCCATAGATATTTTCCAGTAATGTTTGCGTACAATTGGCTGCACCTTCAATATCATTAGGCGACATCGTTAATAAGTTAAAAATATATATATACAGGGTGTCCGCAAAGTTGAGGTTTTCCTTTTCAGACACAACTACGCTTGATATAACAAAGCTAATGTGTGGTGAAACGTGAACGAACAAGTAAAAAGAATAAATGAAAAAGTGCTCACTGTTCAGTTGAATTGAAATTCCAAGTACGGCTCTGTCGTAAAATCCGTATTTACATCGTAGTCGTACGTCGTATAATTGTACGCTGGCGCTTTGGACGTGATCGAGCGATAGGACAGGACCGACTTCGGTTTGGTTCAGGTTTGATTACTTATTATTTCTTTTCGTAAAATCTACACGTCGTGTAAAGAAAAACCCCAACTTTGCGGACAATCTGTATTTATTCAACAGCAACCGCTCCTGTCAAACAAAATAAGGGTACGGTACAAAAGCATCGATATGATCCACACTGAGAAGCAGCAGATATTCTTTAAATGAGTGATCTAGAATGGTGCGTGTCATTATTATGGTTACATGCACGATCATACAATGTCTTGAATTTATTCCGATGTGTATAGTCGTTGCCCCAAAACATATCAAAAACTTGAGCAATATATCAAAAAAGTGGCCTAATCAACAAATTAACGTTCTGTTATCGTGGCACCCTGAGAATTGACGAATTCTTTCACTTGTAGCAGACATTACTTGGACATAGTTTATGCGTAAAGTTTTGTAGTGAGGTAGGAATGGCCTGTTGAATGTTTATTTTTGTAGTATCTAGATTGTTGTGTTCATCCAAAACAATTGCTAAAAGTCTGATTGCTTTGACAAACCTTAAACGATTAAGA